GTCATAAAATGATTAATTAATAAAGGTTGAAGTTAATTTAATGCAGCTTCAAATAGGGGTGATGTTAGAGTGTTTATGGGGTGAGAATAGTTTAGAGCCGTTAATTGTTAATATTATTATTGTCGTTGTTAAGGGTAATAAATTCGTTACAAAATTATTCGAAAATTGTTAATTACTATTAAATATTTGTTTTTTTTGATCGCTCACGTGAGACCGCTTTTTTGGTAATTTCTAGAAAGCGAAAAATTGAAACATCGAAAAGTCGAAAAATTTTTAACATCTAAAAACAGAAAAATCAATTCAAAAATAGAAATTTCGAAGATTCGAAAAGTCGAAAAATCTAGAAATCGAGGAATCGAGAAATCGAAAAATCTAAAATTTAAATAACCGAAAAATTAAAATATCGAAAAATTAAAAACCGGAAAAGAATCGAAAAACTAAAAAATCCAGAAACTGAAAAATTCCAAAACTGAAATGACAAAAAATTAAAAAATCGGAACATAGAAAAATTGGAAGATCGGAGAACGGAGAAACAGAGAGATCGAAACATCGAAAATTTGAAAAATATGTCGAAAAATTGGAAAACTGAAACATCGAGAACCGAAATATCAAAAGATCGCGAAATCGAACAGTCGAAAAATTTACAAATCGAAATATCTGAAATTAAAGAATTGAAATGTCGAAAGTCCCAAACCGGAAATATGAAAAAATGAAAAAATCGAAAAATCGATAATAAGTCGAAAAATAGAATTTGAAAATGGAAAATTTAATAAATCGAAAAATTGAAAAATCAAAAACCTGAAAAATAAAAATCAAAAAATTGAAAATGTAAAATTTAAAAAATGTAAAAATTGAAAATTCAAATCTAAAAAGAAAAAAATTGGGAAATAGGAAAATTGAAGTATCGAAAAATTAAAAAAACGAAAAGTTGAAAAATCAAAAAAAAAGAAAAAATGAAGAATTGAAAAACTGAAAAATCGAGAAATCGAGAAGCCGAAAAATCGAGCAGTCGAAAAACCAAAAAACTGATTAACCAAGAAATTGAAAAATCGAAAAAAAAATAAAAATAAAAAAGAAATCAAAAAACTGAGAAATCGAAAAATCGATAATTCGAAAAATGGAAATTTAATTAATCAAAAACCTGAAAAATTAAAAAATTAAAAAATTGAAGAATAACTGAAAAACTGAAAAATGGAAAAATCGATAAATCTAGAACTCGAAAAATCAAATAGTCGAAAAACCAAAAATTGATCAGTTGAGAAGTTAAGAAATCGAAATATTGAAAAATTGAAAAATCGAGAAAGTAAAAAATCGGGAAATCGAAAAATTGAATAATCGAAAAATTGAAAGATCAAAAAACCTGAAAAACTGAAGAATTGAAAAATTGACAATCCGAAAAATCGAGAGGTTGAGAAATAGAAAAATCGAAAAGTTGAAAAATCGGAAAAAGTAAAAAATCTAGCAATCGAAATTTCGTAAACTCGAAATATCTAAACTTGAAGAATCAAAATGTCCAAAATCCGAAAATAACCAAATTTGAAAAATCTAAATCAAAATATATAAGTCAAAAAATCGAAATCGAAAAATGGAAAATTTAATAAATCAAAAAATTGAAAAATCAAAAAATTGAAAAATTGAAAAACTGAAACATCGAAAAAACGAAAAATCGAAAAGTCGAAAAACCAAAAATCGATCGATCGAAAAATTAAGAAATCGAAAAAACGAAAAATCGATGAATTAAAAAACTGAAAAATGTAAAATTTAAAAAACGAATTTGTTAAATCGAAAAAGAGAAAAATTGAAAAACTGAAAAACCTAGAAATCGAGAAATCGAAAAGTCGAAAAACCAAAAAAATAATTAACCAAGAACTTGAAAAATCGAAAAATTGAAGAATTGAAAAATCTAAAAACGGAAATATCAAAAAATAAAAAATTTAAAAGACGAAAAATTGAAAAATCGTAAAAAGTAAAAATGGAAAACGAAACATCGATAAGTCAAAAAATCGAACTGGAAAAATAGAAAATTTAATAAATCAAAAAATTGAAAAGTCAAAAACCTGAAATACTGAAAAATTGAAAAACTGAAACATCGAAAAAACGAAAAATCAAAAATCGAAAAATTGGAAAAGTAAAACAACGGGAAGCCGAAAATTTGAAGAATCGAAATGTTAAAAAATTCCAAAACTGAAACATCGAAAAATTGAAAACTCAAAAACCAGGAAAATTGAAAAATCGATAAAGTTGAAGAATTGAAAAACTGAAAATTGAAAAATTGAGAAGTTGAGAAATCGAAAAAAAAAATCGGGCAATCAAAAATTCGGAAACCCGAAATATCTAAAATTGAAGAATCGAAAAAAATCCTCAGACGGAAATATCCAATAATTGAAAAATCGAAATCGAAAAATCAATAAGTCCAAAAATCGAGGTCGAAAAACAGAAAATTTAATAAATCTAAGAATTGAAAAATCAAAAAACCGAAAAATTGAAAAACCTGGAAAAATGAAAAATCGAAAAATTGAAAAATTGAAAAATCTAAAATATTAAAAACCCAAAATTGAACATCGAAAAAATAAAGCGAAAACCCGAAATGTCGAAAAATCCCAAGACGGAAATATCCAAAAATTGAAAAATTGAAAAATCGAAAAATTTGAGAATTAAAAAATCTAAAATTTAAAAACGAAGAATTGAAAAAAATAAAAAAATTCAGAAATCATAAAATTTAAAATTGGAAAAATCGAAAAATTCAAGAATAGAATTGTCGAAAATTCTCAAAAGGGAAATAACAAAAAATTGAAAAACCGAAAAATTAAAAAATCGATAATAAGTCGAAAAGTGGTAATTTTAAAACGAAAAAATGAAAAATCAAGTACCTGAAAAACTGAAAAATCTAAAAATTGAAAATTTGAAAAAACTGAAAAATCGAAATAGTAAAAAATCAAAAACCCGAAATATCAAGAATTGAATTATTAGAATGTCGAAAATATCCAAAAATTGAAAAATCGGAATCGAAAAATCGATAAACCAAAAAATTGAAGTCGAAAAACGGAAAATTGAAAAAAATCGAAAAATTGCAAAACTGAAAAATCGAAAAAACCAAGAATCGAGAAATTGAAAAATTGAAAAAAGTTAAATTGAAAAAACAAAAAATCGAAAAATCCAGAAAGTAAAGAATGGGAAAGTCGAAAAATCGATAATTCGAAAAATGGAAATTTAATTAATCAAAAACCTGAAAAATTAAAAAATTAAAAAATTGAAGAATAACTGAAAAACTGAAAAATGGAAAAATCGATAAATCTAGAACTCGAAAAATCAAATAGTCGAAAAAGTAAAAAATCTAGCAATCGAAATTTCGTAAACTCGAAATATCTAAACTTGAAGAATCAAAATGTCCAAAATCCAAAAATAACCAAATTTGAAAAATCTAAATCAAAATATATAAGTCAAAAAATCGAAATCGAAAAATGGAAAATTTAATAAATCAAAAAATTGAAAAATCAAAAACCCGAAAAATTGAAAAATCAAAAAATTGAAAAATTGAAAAACTGAAACATTGAAAAAACGAAAAATCGAAAAGTCGGAAAACCAAAAATCGATCGATCGAAAAGTTAAGAAATCGAAAAAACGAAAAATCGATGAATTAAAAAACTGAAAAATGTAAAATTTAAAAAACGAATTTGTTAAATCGAAAAATAGAAAAATTGAAAAACTGAAAAACCTAGAATTATTAGAATGTCGAAAATATCCAAAAATTGAAAAATCGGAATCGAAAAATCGATAAACCAAAAAATTGAAGTCGAAAAACGGAAAATTGAAAAAAATCGAAAAATTGCAAAACTGAAAAATCGAAAAAACCAAGAATCGAGAAATTGAAAAATTGAAAAAAGTTAAATTGAAAAAACAAAAAATCGAAAAATCCAGAAAGTAAAGAATGGGAAAGTCGAAAAATTGATGAATCGAAATGTTGCAAAATCTCAATATTCAAAAACTGAACAATCGAAATCGAAAATCGAAAAGTCAAAAAACCGAAATAAAAAAACGGAAAATTGAATAAATGGAAAAATTGAAAAATCAAAAACCTGAAAAATTGATGAATCGAAAAATTGAAGAATTGAACACAGTACATTTAAAAAAAATTGAAAAGTCGGAAAAGTAAAAAATGGGAAAATCGAAAAACTGATGAATCGAAATGTTTAAAAATCCAAAAATATAGTTCAAAAAAAAAAAATTGAAAAATCGAGAAATCGAAAAGTTGAAAAATCAAAAGTATAAAAACCAAAAAATCGATTAATCACGAATTTGAGAAATCGAAAATCGAAAACCTGAAAAATTAAAAAATCTAAAATTTAAAACAAGAAAAATTGAAAAATGGAAAAAAGTAAAAAAAAAACGCGAAGTCGAAAAATCGAAGAATCTCAAAACGGAACTATCAAAAAATTGAAAAAACGAAAATTCAAAAAATCGTAAAATTGGAAAATCAAAAACCTGGAAAATTGAAAAATGGATAGAGCGAGAGTCAGAAAACCAAAAAAATCGATTAATCAAGAACTTGAGAAATCGAAAAGTCGAAAAAATAAATCAAGAAATCAAAAAATTGGAAAGTCGAAAAATCGAAAAATTGTAGAATCAAAATGTGGAAAAATCCCAAATCTGAAAAATCGAAGTCGAAAAACTGAAAAATTGAAAAATCGAAAAGTTGAAAAATCGAAAATTGACTCGAAAAATGTAAAATTCCAAACACTGAAATATCAAATAATCAATTGATCGAAAAATTGAAAATCGAGAAATTGATAGAACGAAAATCGAGAAATTGAAAAATTGAAAAATCAGAAATTGAAAAATTCAAGAATAAAAAAAATAAAAAACTGAAAGTCCCAAAACTGAAATAAAGAAAATCGAAAATTCGAAAAATTGGGAATTCGGAAAATCGTTATATATTTAAAATTTTGACTTTTTTCCAAAAGTTTAGAAGTCTAGAATAAAAATTCAAGACAGATTCATAAACCACAAATTCACAAACTATGTTACTGTTCAACATTTAAATAACATTTATTAGGACAGAATTGTAAGATGACGTCATTCCATTATTGGAAGTGAGCAGACAAATTTCGGTTAGGGTTTTACCATCGACATGATATCCTTACAACAAACTTTGACAACAATCGGTCCGGTAGTTGCGGAAATTATCTGCATAATAATAAATAAATATCCGAACAGACGGTCGACAGACAGACAGGCGGAAACTAGAGACCTATTTTTTCGTACTCTAGGAGTCATGAAACGTCGATAAAACATAAAAGTAGCCAGTCACCCGGGAAGTAAAAATTTCAATAATCTCTGAATTATCACAAACCTTTATTAGGCAATAAATTAACAAACACAATAAATAACCACTAACTACTACTGACTATCCCATTATTGCAGCGCCTGTAGCAAATCCTTCTTGCTGTACCCGAACTCCTTCCCTTCTTGCTCCTCTCCTTTTTTCCCAAAGTCCTGGAAGTTCTTATAAAACGCCTCCTTCCCTTCTTCACCCTTGAACCCACTATTCTGTCCATTAAAGTGCCCTTTATCCACGAAACCCTTCACTCCTTGTTCTCCTTGCTGGTACGCCCCATCTTCGTGCCCACCCTTCTCGAATCCACCCTTATGGGAAGCATGGTTCGCGTCATAATCTCCATGTTTACTAAACTGCCCACTGGCATCCGATTCGTCGTAGAAGGAATGGTCCTTTTTGAATTCGTCCTTGTGGTGCACCCTGTGGTAGCCTTTAGTTTTAGAGCCCTTTTTGTGGCTTTTGGATTGACTGAAATGGGAGCCTTGGGAGCCTTTGCTTGCTTCCTCTTTCTGACCATAGTGGGCGGCTTGGTCGTGGTGGTTAGCCTTGTTGCCGCCTTGTTCGTTATAGAACTCTTTGTGGCCTTTACTGTCGTGCTGGCCTTGCGCTCCTTTATCATATTCTTCAGCGGTTTTATAGCCTGTGGAGCCTTTTTCACCGTGAGCGCTTTGGTTGGCGTCGGAGTACGACGAGCCGCCGCCTTTTTCGAAATTGGAGGAGTCGGAGACGGGCACGGGGGCGGCGATGGGGGCAGGTCTGGAAAAAACACAAAATTGAACGATTATCGTTATTATAATAAGACCCGGAACTTCCCCACGTGCTTGTTATCTCATCCCCAATCCAAATATTATCCCTACCTGAACGCTTGCGTCTGCAGGGGGTAGTGCAGGGCGTAGGGGTGCGCCTGTATCCCGTAGTTGAGCGGCACCACTCCCACGGGAGCCTGCGGCTTGTACTCCACGAAGGGCAGCTGCTGCGTGTACCGCCCCAGCAGCGGCGGGTAGGCGAAGTGGCCGACGCCGTTCGCCGCCACCGGGTAGGCGTACAGCGGGCCCCCGGAGTGCAGCTGGTACGCGTATCCCGACGCCGACGACTCCTGGTCGTCGATTTCGGCGTGTTTCATGTAGACGCTCTCGGCGCACAGCGCGGGGCGGAAGAGCAAAAGTAACGCGAGAAGGCACTTCATTCTGGGACGGGTCGAGACTGGCGGTGGTGTGGCGGCTGGCGGAGTTTTATAAGCGAGGAAATTTCAGCAAGAGAGGTGTTGTAATGTATGAATGAGAGCTAGAGGACATTGTGGAGAAATTGACCTGGTAATTGGATTTGTCACGTTGGGGCTGTTATGGTCGACCGAGAAACGTACGGTTGCAACATGGAGGCGGTTAGCGGAGGTAAATGGGTTTAGGACGGGAAAATTGGCCGAAAAAGGGGACGGGTGAGGTTTGGCACGTAGTTACGAGGCGAAAAAATTACAGACTTATTAGATGTACAAAATTAATTTTTTAACGCATTGTGAGTTTGCGCAGTTATTTCGGGATTGAATGCTTTTATATTGTTAATGACGTTTTGATTTCATCGCTAAAATGGCTTAATGGAAATTAACGTTAAAAATTCAATCATCGACGAAACACAATTTGCGTTTTCATATGTAGGTACAAAGGGGAATTTAGGGGAGTGTTAAAAGCTCCATGTATATTTATCGCGTTTTTACGGTTATGGTCCGTTCGTAAATATTTTGTTATGAAAATAAAAAATAGCTGACGAGTTTATTGGAACATCATAATTCCAACATTATTATAATCGCAATTTTATGTTTTTGGGTTTCCCGTTTCCGCATATCTGTCGTTTGTATTTTGCCTCTTAGCGATTTTATTAAAATTTTATGCAAAATTAATCAATTTATTTTCATTTTTAGCTTTATGTGTGTCGATTTTTGAAAAAACGCCAAAATTTTGCAATTTAAATTATACACTTGTTGCGAAATTTGTCCTACGTTTTAAGGTTATAGTTAATATGATAAATTTCTAACAGATTTCGTGTATTCATCCATTGGAAAAAAATAATGACGTCAATTCAAAATTTTGCTAAGTAAATGTCATTTGGAACTTATGTTTTTTAAATTTTTTGGCAAAATCCAACACTGATTTGCGGTCTCGATAAATCTAGAAACATTTAAAACGGAACAGTTGAAAAACCGAAATATTTAAAATCGAGAAAAAGAAACATTAAAAACTCGAAATTTTAAAATTTAAGAAAAAATTTTGAAAAATATCAAAACTGATACATCGAGAAATTGAGAATTCGAAAATTTGAAAAATCATGAAATTCTAATTCGAAAAATCGAAAATTTTAAAAATTCAAACATCAAAATTCCGAAAAATCGAAAACTTGAAAACTTGAAAAATATAAAATTTAGAATAGAACAATCAAAACATCCAAATATCGAAAAATTGAAAAATCTAAGTTTAAAAATGAAAAAGTTGAAAATTCGGAAAATTCAAGAATCGAAAAATCGAAAACTGGAGAAGTTGAAAAATTCCAAAACTGAAATGACGAAAAATTGGGATTTCAAAGAATTGAAAAATCAATCAGAACAGCAAAATGGAAAATCGAAAAGTCGAAAAATCTAAAATTGAAGAATCGAAATGTCGAAAAATCCTAAATCAGAAATATCAAAAAATTGAAAAGTCGCAATAAGGCGAAAAGTCGAAGTCGAAAATAGAAAATTTAATAAATCGAAAAATTGAAAAATCAAAAATCCGAAAAATTGAAAAATCGAAAAATTGAATAATTAAAAAACTCAAAAATCGAAAAATCGTGAAATTAAGAAGTTGAAAGTAGAAAAGTCGAAAGACAAAAAAATCGATCAATCGAGAAGTTACGAAATCGAAATAATGAAAAATTGAAAAATAGAAAAAATTAAAATCTCAAAGGAAACATTGAAAAATCGAAAAAATAAAGAATCGTGAATAATGTTGAAAAATCCCAAAACTGAAGTATCGACAAATTAAAAACCCAAAATTGAAAAGTAAAAAAAAATTAAAAAATCGAAAAATTGAAGAATTGAAAAACTGCAAAATCGAGAAATCGGGAAACCGAAAAGTCGAAAAAACAAAAATTGATTAGATTCATCAAGAACTTGAAAAATCGAAACATCGAAAAAACGAAAAAAATAAAAAAAATCGAGAAATTATAAAATTGAAAATTCGAAAACATGAAAAATTGAAAAGACAAAAAATTGAAGAATCGAAAAACTGAAAAATCGATAAATTTAGAAGTCGAAAAACCAAAAATCTATCAATTGAGAAAAAATGGAAAAATAAAAAAAATTAAAATTTAAAAAACCAAAAATAGAAAAATCAAAAAAATAAAAGATTGTAAAGTCGAAAAATTGAAGAATCGAAATGGTGGAAAGTCCCAAAACTGAACTATCGAAAAATTGAAACATCAAAAAAAGATCCAAAAATTGAGAAATGTAAAAATGGATATATTAAAAAATGAAAAAATTGGGAAATCGAAACATCAAAACAATTAAAAAACTAAAACTTGAAAAATCACAAAAGTCAAAATTTTAAAACATCGAAAAATGTCGAAAAATTGGGAAATCGAAAAACCGAAAAATTAAAAAATCCAAAAATTTAAGAATGAACAATCTGAAAATTGAAGAATCGAATAACTGAAAAACCATGAAACTGAAAAACTGAAAAGTTGAAAAATGTAAAACCGAGAAATCCAATTCAACACACAAAAAATGTTTAAAAATAAAATATCGAAAAACCGGCAAGTCCAGAAAATGAAAAATTTCCAAAATTGAAATGTCGAAAAACTGAGAAATCGAAAACTTCCAAAGTCGAGAAATCGAAAAATTGAAAGAATTTAAAAATCGAAAAACCCAGATGTCGAAAAAACAATGAAAAAATTGGGAAACCGCAAAAATCAAAATTTAAAAACAACGAAAAAACGAAAAATCGAGAAATTGAGAACTTCCAAAACTGAAATGTCGAGAAATTGGGAAATCAAAAACTGAAAAATCAAAAAATTGAAAAATCGAAAAGCCGAATGAACTAAAATATCGAAAAATCGAGAAATCGAAAAATCCAAAATTTAGGAATGAAAAATCAGAAAATTGAAATGAAAAATCGAGAAACTGAAAAGCTAAAAAGTCAAATAATTGAAAATCTAGAAATCGAACCCTAAACATCAAAAAGTGCAAAAATTAAAACATGGAAAAATTGGCAAATCCAGAAAAGAAAAAGTTTTTAAAATTGTAAGTCGAAAAATTGAGAAATGGAAAACTTAAAAAGTCGGGAAATCGAAAAATCGAAAAAATTGTAAAATCGAAAAAACCCAGATCTCAAAAAAATTGAAATGTTATAAAATGAAAAAATTTGTTAAATCGAAATTCAAAAAAGCAGGAAATCGAAAAATCCAAAATTTAAAAATAGAGAAAAAACAAAAATTCTAAAAAGCGAAATCGAGAAATTGAGAAATTCTAACACTGAAATGCTGAAAAATTAGAAAATCGAAAAACTGAAAAATCAAAACATCAAAAAATTGGAAAATTGAAAAACGGAGGGTCAAAAATTTAAAAAATCGGACAACTGAAAAGCTGTGAGATCTAGAATCGAGAACTCAAAAAATCGAAAAATCTAAAATTCGAAAATTCGAGAAATCGAAAAATCCAAAATTTAAAAATGAAAAATCAGAAAACTTAAGAATCGAATAACTAAAAAATCGAGATACTGAAAAGCTGAAAAGTCGAAAAATTGAAAACAGAGAAATCATAGATTCGAAAACGAAACATTAAAAGATCGAGAAATCGAAAAGTCAAGAAGTCGAAAAATTGAGAAATTGAAATAACCCAAAATAGAAAAATCGAAAATCGATAAATTGAAAAATCGAGAAACTGAACTAACGAAAAAAGGAAAAATAGAAAAATTTTGAAACCTTAAGAATCGAGAACTTGAAAAACAAAAAAATCTAGAACCGAGTTGAAAAATTGAAAGATCGAGAAATCGAAACATCAAAAAAATTAAAAATCTAAAATTAAGAAATTCGAAAATTAAAAAATTGAAAGACTAAAACGTCGAAGAACTGAAAAAACGAAAAAAATTTAAATGGAGAAATCGAAAAATCGATAAATTGAAAAATCCCAAAAGTGAAACATGGAAAAATTGAAAATTCAAAGAAAAATTGAGGAATCAAAAAAAATGGAAACTTTTTAAACTGAAACATCGGAAAATTGAGAACTCGAAAAACTAAAAATTGAAAAATCGAAAAACGCGAAATCAATAAGTCGAGAATCAAAACATCAAAAAACCAAAAAATCGATTAATCGAGAATTTGATAAATCCAAAAATCAATAAGTTAGAAATGTTAAAAATAATTTGAAAGTCAGAAATTGAAAAATCGAAAAATCCTAACACTGAAATATCGAAAAAATGACTAAATGAAAAATTGAAAATCGGTTCGGTAGTTTCGGAGATTATCCGTCTGATAAAAATCCGGGCAAAAAACAGGAAACCTATTTTTTTCTTCTTTAGTGGTCATGAAACGTCGAGAAAATATGAAAGTAGTCAATCGCCCGATGGACTCGATGACAATACTTTTTAGCTTACGTCCGCGAAGTAAAACTCTGTCGTCTGCCAGTCATGACACAATTTGCAAAGATCTTAGAGACCCTAGTGGTGGTGTAATATTAAATTTTATAATTTAGCAGCCAGTAAAAACTGAACTTTATTCACTGCTTACTTTGCACCATTTTTCTACAGTTTTCGGGTACGAGTGAGGCGTGTTTAAAGCGGCTTTAGTACTATCAAACTAACAACATCGTAAATAACCGAATATTGCTCCATTAGAGCGCAAATACAATAACAATATCAATACATTTAATTATCCTTTAATCCAGCTCTATATATTTTCGGTTCTATATTATTTCCGATAATTCCCCATCCATCTAATTAAACATTAACCCGTCCCAGTTTCGATGCAGTTTGGTAGTCCTAACCCACCATGGCCGCATTCGAAGCATCGACGCAGAACTATCGCCTAATTAATCAAATATCCGACATTCCAATATCTCAACACTGTCCGAGGGTAAATACGGGCATGTACAAATTAATTTATGCGGCGCAGAAAGCTTCATAAATTTTTACGACCATGCATACCTGCTTTATTAAGTAATTTATCCGGAAAAACCCTCGACTTCCACCGTCTGCATTAATTTTTTCAGCAGCCCAGAACTTCCGTTTCTTAA